AAAGAGAAATTGTTCCTTTTTAAAACGTTGCTAGGATTAGACTTCTTTGCTTTGAAGATGATCTGTCAGTAATGAATTATGACCCCCAATAAAACGGTCAGAGTAGTTGTAAAAATAGCTGGAGAGGCTTCTTTTATTGCCTCTGAGCTGGAAAAATGCAAAGCCTTTCAGTTGAAATGAGCAGGGCAAAGTTAGTTTTCTTTTCTAGAAATGCCAGTAAGATTTCTGAAACTTTCTCATTGCGTTTAGGAAGGGCTTGTAATTGGATGAATACAGGGATGGATGAGAGATACTTGGCCCCTCCCTTTCTTTTACAAATTGGTTCTTTCTGAGTTAGGAGTTGTAATTTGAAACACTGCTCACTTCTTTCGCTGAAGAGAAAAGGAGGGGGAATTTGCCCCTTCCTGACTTGATACGAAGACAAAGGAATCCTGCCTCAGTAAAGGAAGAGGAGGAAAAAAGGATCGAAGGAGGCAAATTTGTTTGCCTTTGAAAGCCAAAGCATAGGTTATTTGAAAAGTATCTTGCGTAAAAGGGGAAGGGGGGATTCTTGTCCCTCCCTGCAATTCAAACTGAGGCACAGAACTTAGCATTCCGCATTCACTTCTGGCTTCAACATTACTTTGCTTTATCACAAATCCAAATTAACTGTCTTTATACTGATGGGCTTCAGGATTTCAAATAACCATCTTTTTATTATTCTGTATCCTGCACAGATGCAGATAGATAAACTCCACAAAACACCCATAACAAAGTACTTTTATTGGTTCATCAGGTATCCTCATAACTCACATTTGTGATGAAGTTCTTCTTTAATGACCAATCCTTTGCATATCTGTCTTGTAGGTAAAAAGATGGTTTCTCCTATCCTTTTTCTCCCATCTTGTAATGATAAAAGTAGAACAGTTACCACGAGTCTATGAGTTCAGCCAAGAGTGAGGAAAACTCCCCCAACCCATCAAGGGTCAATTTAGTGACCAATTAAGATTACAGATGTGGTCACGTGACATGGCCTACATTTCCCAGGATACCTTAACTACATTTACCATAATGCATTCCCTTAAGTTAGCTCACAATTGCTACCTAACTATCCAATTCCCATACACTGGCTGGACAGCACATGAAGATAAAGGATTTTTTCCTTCATTTGTTTCGGTAACCTCATTCAGACCACGGTTGAGTTCCAAACTTCAGACTGAGGATGTATGTAAACTATCAGATATACACAATATTGATTGATTCCACTCTATAAGAATAAGCCTTATTGGACACAGGAGCTTCCAACTTCTAAATAAACTTGCACGTACTGAAGATTTCAGCTCTAAATTTGCACTCCACTGAATTCCTAACAGAAAAAAATAGAATGTTCAACCAGTTTTGCAAAATGATAGTAAATACTTGTGATGATATGTGGGAATTTGGAAGATGGAAGAAAAGACCCATAGCCTACATTAGGGGTCACCAACCTTTTGGACCTCAGGGGACCACCAAACTCATAATTTTAAATCCCAGGGACCACTAACTGGTTGTGTGGGCATGGCCTAATTTTTTGCGTGTGGCTTGATCATGTGACTGGCTGGGCATGGCTTGTATGTAAATATTATAAATACTGATTTTTTTCTAAAAGAAGAGCAACTTTTACTCAATCAGGCAAAGCAGGAAGGCAGATTGAGTTGCTCACAGAATCATTGAGTTATCTATCTATCTGCCATTGGCTACCTGAATGTCATATAAAATTGGCTTGCCGTGAGTCTGCACTGAATAATATAACCTTCAGTCCTAAGGGAGGTTCGGCTGTGCTTAAAAGCAGAGTTGAAAATCTAAAGACTAGCTAGAAAGCAAGAAATCCAACCATTTTCTGCTTCCTAGCTAATCTAAATCTCCTGGCACAGCAGAATAGCTGATGGTCGAAAAAGGAAAAATAGCAATTTAGTAGGCAAATTTGCCAGGTAAGGAGTGAGTGGGCAGGGAGGGTTCACGTGGGCCATGTAGGCAGCGCAGCCTTGTGTTTCTGCGCAGCCTGGATTAATTGCTTTGGGGGTTGCTCTAGGGGTGAGATTTCTTTGTGGCCCACCAAAATTTTCTCACGGCCTACCAGTTGGCGACCGCTGGCCTAGACAACTGTCTGAGAAGAGGCATCTTAGTCCACAGGAGAAAGGGTAGAAAACAATGCAGAAGGAATCTCCTTAGTTTTTGGAGACTAAAAAAGGGAAGTTTGAACTAATCATTTATGAAGATTCTTAATCATCAAAGTCATGGTTGTCCCAAAGATGCTTTTCAAAAGGCAAGAGGACTTTCTTGGTTTTTTTCCTTTTCACCTCATCCAAAAAGCTTCTTCAGTTCTGACTGAATGTTGGGGAATAGAATGTTCTTTGTATTCATCTGGTTCTTAGCATTCTGAAGATCAGTCAGTCATTAAATCTCTGAGAGTTTGAGTCCACTTGGGGATTTATCTGTTCCCTCAAGGTCACCTAAAATCAGAGTGCAAATGAATGTGGAACCTTCTTGAGATTGCTGTAAGGACTGTGTTGTAGACAGGAGATATAGGTGGTGTGTATCCCTCTGCCTCTGTTGACAGAGGGCTGTTCAATTTTAACATAGATGCTATTTTTGACTCCTCTTTCAAATCAGTAGTCTTATCTATCCAGAATGTGCTTTGCTTCAAAACTCCTCAAAATGAGTGACATTTGTCTTTCAAATGCAGATGGATCTTGCTGAATCTTGAATCTGGTGGGTTTGTTTTCCTTTGTTGTGCCATGTGTTTGTGAAGTGGTTGTTTTGTTTCTCCAATGTAGAGATCTGGACATGTCTCACTGCATTGTACTGCATATACCACATTGCTCAGTTTGTGTCTGGATGTTTTATCATGGGGTGGACAAGCTTCTTCCTTAATATATTCTTCTGTTTAAAGCATGCATGTATGTTTTGTTGATTGAAAATCCTTAGGATTTTCAGATATTCTTGCAATGTATGGAATGACAGCATTACTTTGCTCTTTGTTCTTTTCTTTATATAGAGCAGTTCCTGCTGGATCTTTTTCTGCATTTGATGAAGGTCCAGTTGGGATAGCCACAAGTTCTGAAGGCTTCTTTGACATTTTTTAATTTTTTTTCTTTTTTCTCTTTGCTGGTCCCAAACCTTCAGCCCAGTGGTATAGAGTTCTTATCATTCCCATTTTGTGATCAAAAGACTTCCTAATGCTTTCCCCCAACTCGCGGACTCAGCTGCTTCTTACAGACCAATACCTTAGGCTTCAGAATTTCCTCCTGTCTGCCAAGGTCATTCCCACATTCATTACAGTATATGACTGTAGAAAAGGTTAAAATAATCCCTCTTATTCAGCCTGTCATTTTATTTCAGAACTGGCCAGTAACACAGATCTTTTGAAAAGTCACATTTATCTAGCCAAGTATCAATGTAGCCTAGACACAATAGAAATTGACTAAAATAAAACAAAGTTTTATAAAGTATATAGCATTTTTTCTAAAATTATAAGAATGTTAGAAGTAAAAATGTAAGTCATGCAATTTAGATAAGGCAATCAAATTTAGTTATTTATTTAGAAAATTTATATGGCCACTTACAGCTAATATTTAGATGACGCCCTCATCTCATTCGAGATCACAATACTACAGGACTGTAATAATTCTAAAAGGTTCAAAAACTTGATTCACCATTGTTAATTTCTTAACTAGATGTCAAATGCCTTGGCAGTATTATACAATTAACTTAAATAACATAGAGTTGTTACTTTAAAGGTAGAATTATGAACATGGGATATATGCACAAGATAATTCATATTGTTTAGCGAACAAACTTTTAATGAGTAATAAAAATAAACCTTAAACCAAGGCCATTTTTTGCACAAATTTATTTAAAACTTTATTCTCGGTAATTATGAACAGGATCATCGTCCTTGAAAGGCAGCAAAGATTCTGAATCTTCTACCTAAAAAAATATTGTTTTGTTTAAATGTTGTAGATATGCAGATATAGAGATGAAATACAGGAAATTATTTTATACCACTCATACTCATGGTATGTTTTATAAGAACACAAAAGATTTCACGAGTATTTTGTGCTGTATCTAATAATGGCAAAAGCTGAATATAGGTGTTTTGCATGTAAAGCTTAGTACTTCTTTTATATTTAATGTCTAGGTTACCAAGTCATGGGTAGAATAAGCTATGACTTAATAAACATAATGTGTGAGCTAAAATATTATCCACAGCCAAAAAGCAGTGTGTTATTCCAACTAATGACTGGCTTCACAGAACATAATAAACTAAAACCATATGGAGTGCACTATAACCCCTCATTTAGTGACTACAATCCATTCCTTAAATCAACAGCAAAATGGTCACTAAGCAAATACAAGATAGAAAAAGATACTGCAAAGATCCCAATCTCCTGCAATCTCATTTAGAAGCAGCTATTTGAGAATTATTCTTACTCTGCTGTGCATTCTTGTCAGGCACTTAGAATAACTGGTATTGTGTATAGGAACATCTACACAGTGCTAGACTCTCCCAAATGGAGATGGGAGATATCACTAAAGGTTGTGAACTATAAGAAGGCTTAAAATCCTGTGGGGTTCCAGTTTCAGATAGTCAGGCACTAGCCAACCTGTCAGACATCATGGTAATTGACAGGGATGAGATCACTGCAGTGGTAGTGGTGCCAAGTCAGAGCAACATTGGGAATGAGGAATATGAGGGAACCATATATATATATAATTTTGAAATTTTTAAAAAAGAACTATGTATATACTTTTTAATATATTCGTTAGGCATTCACCATCTCAGCATTTTTCTTTGGTTATAATTTTTCAAGTGGGAATACAAAATAACAGCTAGTAACTAATGTGTACAAATTACATTTTTAGGGGGGAATGGCGGTATTGAAGAACTTATATAAAGCTGATACTGAATGCAAAATATATATATATACATATAAATTTTAATTTCATTCTTTTCTTTTGCTTCATGACTTTTCTTGAAGGGATCACCCCGAATATCGACTCCATTTGGTACACCACATGGAAAAGAGAAAACACTGTCCAATGATGATGTGGAGAATTATTATAAACCTTCAATGCTTGAAGACCCATGGGCAGGCCTAGAACCGGTGTCTGTTACTGATGTTAACCAACAATTCAGCCTTCAACAAACAACACATTGTGGTAGAAAAGGCAGATATTTCAGCTAAAGAACTCTATCTATCTTAGAATCTATCTGCTGCCATTCTTTCAACCATATTGATAAGGAATGATAAATTCATAATTCACTGCAAGCCTAAAGATGTTTTAATGTGGAGGCAGGGGATAATATATTGATAATCTACAGATTGTTTTTCAACCTTCAACATAAATTTCATTTTCCACCTACTGGGGGAGGAGGTATTGTTGTTCAAACACAATACATCTTTCAATCAATCCAGTGGTCACTACTAATCAAGAATGAGCTAGGCACAAATTTATCCAAGCTTCTTGTCCACATATTAATAGGATACAGATCAAAATTGATAGAATATACAATAAGCCATTGTCCCACTATCATTCTTAGCATTACTAATGAAAGTTATGTGACTTTAACAATGAATATAAGCAAGATTATCTGAAAAGAATCCATAAAGCTTTCAGAGTTCACTTGCTGAAAGCACTAGATGATCTTCCAGAGCCTAATCAGTGCCCCGATTCAATCCAGAATGAGTTTCTTAAGCAGTGAATACATAAAGGAGAAAGTGAAGAAAAACAAAAATAGGCTTTCTAATGAATTCTAAACTATACTTAGGCATATTTTGTTTTTCCTACATGCTTCATCTTCTGCAGATCTCTGATAAATAAGGAAATTGGTTTTGTATGGAAGTCTTAATAATTCAAGGTCTAGCCAACAATCAGTAATTGATGATGTAACCAGTTATCAAGGCATGGCTTGAAGGATTAGAGTCATCAGTAAATATTGCTCCAAGAGAGATAAAGAGAATGCCAAGCTCTTTAGAATTTTAATCCGGCTCAGCTTCTTTGCAGGCATGGGCTGGTCAACTATTGTAACTTGACCAAGCAGTCATACATTGACAAAACACTAAATTCTAGCTCCTGTAACCACTGAACATTTTTACTACAAAAAACAGGTCTACAATGTATCCTAGTAAAAACAGATTTTGTGAGACAGACATAATGGTCAGAACAGACCAGTTTCAGCATAAATGACAAGATTTGGAGGTGTCCACACCACTTTCAAAACCAATTTTACCAGCTCAAGCAGAGGTACTTTTTAGACATGAGACTCCTGGTATAACAGCAAATATCCCAACCTGTTTGATCCTCTAAGTCAGGGGTGTCAAACTCATGGCGTCATATGACATATCACAACTTCTTTCCTTCACTGAACAGGGTGAGCGTGACCAGCAAATGAGGCATCCAGCCTGTGAGCTTGCAAGTTTGATACCCCTGCTCCAAGTCCTAATAAGTCTTATTAAGTCTTCGTTTTCCCCACACAGAAATTTAGTAGGACAGTCTTAATTCAGATGACTCCACTCAGGTGACTCCACTCAATTCCTTCATTCAGGTCTCAGTCACAACACCTCAATTCATTGCTGGATCAAGTAACTTGATTTCAGTTAGCAGCAGCAAACATTGACCAGGAAAAAAGAACGTTTGTTAATTGACCTCCTCCCCCCTTGGCTGATGACTCATCATCAGACCTATTGAACTTTCCTATACTGTACTATAGGAGCCGTCAATTTTTTATAAATTAAAAAACCAGATAAACTTTTTAATCTTTACCATCATCTCAACAATCAAACACACCTAACTGCCCAACCTCATCTACAGTCAGTCAATTTTAATCAATTATAGCTCTGTGATAACTTCTACCAAATAAAGATAATCACAAAACAAGAATCCATGTTCACATTTCTCGTCTTCAGTTGTTACAATGATAAGCATTGTGGATGGTTCTCAGACATTTTGGCATCTAGACCCTTTTTCATTCTTAAAAATATTTTGATACTTATGCTATAAGAAATTAAAATTAGAAATGTTAAAATATTTATTTGGCTTTATGGACTTCTTGAAAGGTTATTGGGGATCTCCAGGGATCCCAAAGCACACTTTGAAAACTGTTCTAGTTCTTAACCACAATGTCCTACACAATTTCAAACATCAAGTCTTCCAGTTTTAAAAATATATTACTTAGAAATATTTTACTGTTTATGCTAAAACCTACTATGAAATTTATATAAAATGCCATGAAGACTTTAGGGAAATATTTTAGTGCAGTGACACTGTATTGTTGAACAATTTTAATAGTGCAAGTGTATTTTCAGAATATGATCCATAACAATATTGAAAATATTGCTAACTTTATAGTAAAATACATTTAGATAAAATACTTAAGTTGAAATTGGGTAGAAAAAATCATAAGTTTAAAAGTGAAATAAATTACATAAATCTTATACCTATTCAATAATTTGCTGTATGCAAGTTTCTATTGCATAGAAATCTATTTTAAAATGGTTAATGAACTATCAATCTGACTTTGTTAATTTTAAAATGTGAATTAAGCTCTTAATGAGAAATGCAAATTGTAAGTTTCAGTCTTTTTTGTTTAAAAATATTTACATTAAATTAAGTATTCTTTGGGTATATAGAATAACTTAACATTTTCTGTTCAATTTTACTAAAAGATACATCATGATAAATTTGTCACCAATTTGGCTTATTCATTTATTATTTTATTTTAGAAGATTGATTAACTGTGATAGTATTTTAAAGGACACGTTTTGTGTTCTGATGATTTAATCCTAATGAAGGAATTAAATATATTGAGTGAAAATCTAAAGAAACTGGTTATTATTCAGCTATAGACAGATAATACCCAAAAATGTTTTTCTCTGGTTCAGATACAAATTCTCAAATGATTTTCAGAAAATGTCTTTGAAAATATCATACAACCATATTTCTCTCCTGAAATCAAATTTGTGAATCTCAGTTATTGATTGTCTTGAAAGTTTCTGAAATCAATATATTGATTTTTTCAGATAAAATATAAAAACCATTTTAAGAGTGTAGCTGCTTTCTTAGTATTACAATTAATTTTAATGTAATCTTAGAATTAAAATTTGCCTTTCAAATCAAATCAAATCTTTATTGTCAATTCATAATGTGTACAATGAAATTGAATGAGTCTCCCTTGATGCAGCCCCCCAAAAAACAAAATATATCTCAATAACTCAATAAATGAAAGAAATAGAGTCCCTAAACCAAATAAGTAATAACTAACACACATTCCCATATACCTATATGTACATAACACAGTGGTGAGATTCAATTTTTTTTACTACCAGTTCTGTGGGTGTGGCTTGGTGGGCATGGCTATGTGGTCATGTGACTGGGGGAGGTCAAAAGACAAACTCATTTTCTGGAGGAGAGGGTTGTACTAGATGACCTCCAGGTACCTTCCAGCCCTGGATTGCTATGCTGGTTCAAAGCATCCTCTGAAGCTGCGTCTAGTGCAGGGTCTTCAAACTTAAGACTTGTGGACTTCAACTCCCAGAATTCCTCCTCCAGTCATATTAGCTCAGGAATTCTGGGCGTTGAAGTCCACAAGTTTGAAGACCCTTGGTCTAGTGCAGTGATTGCCAATCAGTGGGCCGCAAGAAAATTTTGGTGGTCTGCAGAGGAATGTCACCCCCAAAGCACCCCCCAAAGCAATTAATCCAGACTGCATAGGAACACAAGGCTGTGCCACCCACATAGCCCGTGGGAACACAAGGCTTGCGTCGCATTGAGAACAACACGAGGAGAGGAGGGGAGAAAGGGCAGAGGGGGGAACTTGTCCCACACACCTCGCCTGGCCACCAGGCTGCTTTCTGCTTCTGCACGTAAGGAAAGTAGCAAAAATCTTTCCCCCATACTGCCAGAAATGAGCCTTTGGGACCCTGCAAAGCATCCTGCTCCAAAAAGACTGCTGGCAATTTCTAGCGGAGTTTGGGGGAGAGAAAGACAGACTACTGCTGCTTCTGTTGCTTTCCTTGCATGAAGCCAAAAGTCAGTCAGTCTCTCTCTGTCCCGCCCCCCCAGGAATGGAGCTGAAATTGTATCCTGACATCCGAAATAAAGATTGATCAATCGGTAGGAAAACGGGGTGGGGAATTTTCCTGCAGATTTTTGGGGAGATTTTCTGTCTGCAGAGACCCTGGGAAAATCCCCCCAAAAGTCTGCAGGAAAATTCCCCACCCTGTTTTTCTACCGATCAATAGATTTTTATTTAGGATCGCAGGATACCTTTCTCTCTCTCTCTCTCTCCCCCTGAGAACAGAGCTGAAAAACAGATTATTGAAGGAATGTGGCTGCCTTGGAGGAAGTGTGTGTGTGTGTGAGGTACCTCTGTGTGTGTGTGAGAGAGAGAGAGCACATCACCGCCAGCCCTCCGAGGTTAGACCGGATCTCTCCCACCAACGTCAGCAAGCCACCATCAGTCAAAATTTATATTCGTGGTCTGCGGAATTTAAAAGTATGAGTTTGGTGGTCCCTGAGGTCCAAAAGGTTGGCAACCCCTAGTCTAGTGGCAAGGTTTGTGGTCTTTCCTTTTTCCTTCTCTCTCTTTTTTGTTTCCTCCCTTTCTCCCATCCCTCTCTCTCTCTTTCTTTTGCAGCACCCCACTGCACACTATTTTTGGCCAGTGGGCCTCAGGGAAATACTAGAAAAATGCATTTTGAAGCGGATCCAATTATTTCCTGCTTTCTAGCTAATCTAAATCACGTGGCACAGCTGATGGTCACCCAGCTGATAGTCGGAAATACCAGTTTGGCCTAACAGGTGCATTTTTTAATATCGGTCCGGCCGAAGCGGGCCAAACCAGAATACCACCACTGATTTAACATTATACTGTATTACACTGATATGAACATGTTGCACTTTGTGTTAACCCTGCAAGTCTATCATATTAAACCTAATTCTGTTATGTTGCTTTCAGAAGTCTGACAGCCCATGGATAAAAGCTATTTTTCAGCCTATTTGTTTGGCTGGCTATGCTTCTATATCTTGCCCAATGGTAGGAGAGCAAAGAAGTGCTGACCAGGATGTGAAGCATCCCTGAGGATTTTCCTCACTGCTGAGGCAGCGGGTTCTGGCGATTTTGTCCAGTGGTGTCAGGGGATAGCCCATAGTTTTTTGTGCTGTGCTCATCACTCTCGTTCTGTCCACGGCTGTCAAGCCAACATACCATACCATAATACAATATGTAAGGACACTTTCTATCGGAGACCAGTAAAAGGAAATCATCAGTCATTGTTCCACCTGATTTTTCCTCAAGACCCTGAGGAAATGGAGTCTCTGATCACCTGGATCATGTTATTTTTCCAGGTGAGATCTTGCTAAGATGGACTCCCAGAAATTTGAAAGAGGAGACCCGCTCCACACAGCCCCCTTGATGTAGAGGGGCAGTTTCCTCTCTCTGCTTCCACTTAATACCATCTCCTTTGTCTTGCTGGTGTTTAGATGCAAGTTGTTTTCTGAGCACCATGTAGATAACTTCTGGACTTCTTCCCTGTATGGTTAATTCACCTCCTCCTGCAATAAGTAGGATGGTATCTGCAAGATTTATAATGTTAGATGGATCAGAAGATATGTAGTATTGAGCAGTGCTGAGCTTCAGGGAGGAGAATGTGAAAGACCTAGCCCTCACTGTTTGTAGCCACCTGTCAGAAAGTTTTTAATCCAATCACAGATGAGAGAAGGGAAATTCAAGTCAGTCAACTTTTTAATGAGGATGTCCAGCAAAATGATGTTAAAAGTCGAGCTGTAATCTATTGAAAAGCATTCTGAAATAGTTCTCAAGTTTCTCTAGATCACTCACTACAGAATTTAGGACAGTAGCATTGTGACGTAGTTCCCAGGTTTCTCTAGGTGACTCACTACAGAATGTAAAGCAGTAGCAATGGCATCACCTGTCAACCTATTTCCTCTGTAGGCGAACTGATATTGGTTGAAATCTGATGGGAGGCATGACCTGAGGTGTTGAAGAACAAGTCTCTCTAAGCACTTCATCTCTACAAACATTAATGCAATAGGTCTGCAGTCATTCAGGCAGTTTATTGCTGTTTTCTTCAGGACTGGAATGATAGTGGCTGCTTTCAGACATGATGGAACACTGGCTTTTTTCAGGGAGATATTAAAAATCCTTGTTAGAACCTCTGATAATTGGTCAGCACAGGTTTTTATCACTATTCCCAGCATCCATCTGGACCTATAGCTTTATTGGAATTCATGGCCATACAGCTCTCACTTGGTGTTCATACAAGGTGAGTGGCTGGGAGTTGGAGGGCCAGCAGGCTGGGGCTACAGGGTCAGGTCTCTTGACCTCATAGCAGGCACAGGAGTTCAACTCTACCAACAAGGCATCAGAGTTGACTGTTTTTATTATATTGCCCTTATAGTTGGTTAGGTGCTGCAGTCCCTGCCACCGGATTGTTGTCTGCTAGATAGTTCACCTTTTTTATATATTTTTGTTTAGCTACCTTGATGCATCTCCGTAGATTTGCCCTGGCCTTATTGTATTTATCTCTGTCACCTGCCTTAAAGGCGAAATCCCGGGCTCTCAGAAGTGTCCATACCTCTGCTGACATCCAGGGTTTGCAATTCTCATAGACTCTGATGCACTTGCCCACTGTTATATTATCCGTTCACGTTTTGATTTGTGAGTATGGTGTCAGTGAATTCTTGCAACTCCAAATGTTCAAATATACTCCACTCAGTAGTCTCAAAGCAGTCTTGCAATGGTAGAGTGCTCCCTCCGGCCAGATTGTAAGAGTTTTCCTGACTTGGGCGTATCCTTTTCTTATTGGGGGATATACTTTAGGCACAATAGCAGAGAAATGTGGTCAGACATACCCAGATGGGAGAGGGGGGTTGCTCTATATTCCTGTCTTAAGTTTGAATACATATGGTCTAAAGTGTTCTTACCTCTGGTGGTACACTGCACATTTCATATTATGTAGAAGTGTTGGACAACACATGGCTTGCAAACTTATATAAGAAGTTTATTCATAGCTGAAACTAAACCTTCCTTCAAAACTGCAATTAATAATGGATAGCTGCAGTATCATATCTAACAAGTGGACACTTTTTTCATCCCAAGGGCTTCACTATAAACAATGGACACAGGAAGAACAGAAGGTGCAATTGCTTTCCTTCAAATTAAATGGTAAATGTTATTCCCATGTTTTTTCATCTTGTAGTGTTAAAAACTATAGATCAATGGTAGTTTTAGGTGAAGAGTATGTTATCTGAAGTTGTAGAAATCTTCATGTTTTATTTTGTTCTGGCTTGGTTTGATCGGCACTTATTTTGTTTTCAGATTTTGCTCTTCTTATCAGCTGTATTTTTATATGTTGGTTCTTAGGTGTAAGCCACCTAAGTCAGACAGCTTATAAATTAAATAAACTAAAAAAATAGACTTG